GTGATGCACCCCATAATACACAGTAAACACTTAATATCTGTTTGATTATTGAATCAGAGAGAAGTACAGTGTGTGGCATCTGGTTTTGAAGTCATGATGCTATAGGGAGGTAGAGATGCAGAGCTTGGAGGAATCATAGATGTACTCTGGTCCAGGAAACAGAGGGCTTATTCAACTTAGATTTACTCTTTCTACAAGTCCTTTCAGAGATGAGGACTTTCACACTGTTAAAAAAATGCAATGAGCAAATGCTTCTTAAAGTTGATGGTAAATTCAGAGAGCTAAAAAGAGCAGCACATAAAAGCTAGAAAGAAAAAAGATTTTATAAATAAAAAAGTAAATTAAATAAATTATGATATATGTACACAACCATCAAAAATTATGATATATTTACATCTATGGTAACACAGGATACTGTTTATAGTTTGCTGTTAAATAAAGAAAACACTTCAAAACCAAATAAAATATGATACTCTTATAATTTTTAAAAATTGATATATGCAGAGAAAGAACATCCACAGCACATAAATCACATTATTAATAAGGATTATCTAAACTTGTTGGGACTATGGATGTATACAGGTTTCTTTTTTTCTAGTTTACAGTTTATAAAATTTTGACAAAAAACAAAGATCATTTTTGAAACAAGAACAAAGCCACTAAAAATAGAAAGATACATAAGCAAATGATTGTACTGTCACAGATTTGTCATCTACCCTGAGACATCAGAACGTGCTTGAACCAGCCTGGACCAGATGGGGTTCCCTTTCCCAGGGGTCCTGTACCTTTCAGGAAGGAACTTCTCAGGCTCTGGCCAGTGTTCTGGGTCTTGATGAAGAGCAAAAGTTGGCACCGTCACCAGTGTCCCTTTGGGAATAATCACTCCATTGATTTCAACATCTTTCTTACAGACCCTGTCAAGTCTGCCAACAACTGGGAATAATCTGAGTGTTTCATTCACCACCATGTCAAGATATTCCATCTGTAACATGACATCATACGTAGGAGGTGCCTGTGAAGAAAGAACAAGAGCTCAAAAAGTTGAGATTCAACTCAGTCTATGTAGTACTACTGAAGTATTAGAATCTCCAAAGAATATCTTACATTGATAAAGGACCTTAGCATTTATAAATTATTTTAACATCTACCATGTTCCTTTGACCTACTCAATGGTCCATTGGGATGTGTGGAGCAGTATATGGGAGACCCTCAGAAAATCCTCTAAACAGGGCCTGAAATCCCTAGTATTACCACGTGCAACTTTCTTTCTCTTGTCAACAAATGTGACTATAAGCATTACTTTTAAGAAATATATGTGCAGATTACAGTGCCCTTTTAAAAGTAAGGCCACGTATGTGTACCAAGGTAAGAGAAAAATTAAACGACCAATTCTTCAATTTCATATAAGCCTTTGCAGATCAGATATACTGCTTACTAGCTGTTCTGATACATGCTAGCATACATAAATGATAGATAGATAGACAGACAGATAGACAGACAGGTAGGGAGAGAGGGAGGGAGGGAGGTAGATAGATGATAGATAGATAGATTGATTGATGGACTGATAGATACATAGAAACATAGATAAAAAGAGAGACAGAGAGAATATGGAGAGAAATTCAATATTGTACGTAAACTCTAAATAATTTGAAGGGAAACTAGTTCTTACTATCCCCAATATGAGAAAAGAAGGCTATGATTGGATGGTACCAGGG